GTATAGTTCTAGGTTTCACATTTAAGTCTTTGATCCATCTGGAGTTTGTTTTTGTGTGTGGTGTGAGGTGGAAAATGGAATTTTAGTATTTACTTTTGGAGGATAAAAGTAAAGAGAGCCTGAAGGCTGAATTGATGAGGTAAGCTTTATCTTAAAAGAACAAATGTTATCTTAAAAGAACAAATGTCAGCTTGAGGTATATTAACATATAATTATAGCTTGACACAAATGAATAACAAATATTAACAATGAATAGACTAGCCATTTAGAAAATTCCTGTGACTAAGACATATATAGGAAATTTTTAATAATAAAGTGAATAAATATGATAATATAAGTTATATAGCAAAGCACCTTTCAATAACAAATAGGTAAATATAATGAAAAAAAATATTTTAAAAAATGTGCTTTTTTTGGGGGATGTGGCATTTTGGCTGAACTGATTATACTTTAGACATTTGGAAGAGTGATGAAAGCATTTTTTTTTGACATATTGTAACATTCCAGAGTGCATTCGTGTGTATTTATATTTGAACTTTCAAGACTTGTACATCTTGCTAGTTTTTTTCCCCCAAGATGAAGTTAAGTCAGTCTTGAATAAATGAAGATAGTTTATCCGGTGTAGTTTTCTTGTGGATTGACCTTTTATGTAATGATTTGTCTCTTGGTTTTTGAACATGCAGCCTTTGCAGCCAAACCTAAAAGCTACTGCCATCGAGTCGATTCAAACTCATAGTGACCCTATAGGACATAGTGGTTTCCAAGGCTGTAAATCTTTATGAAAGCAGACTGCCTCATCTTTTTCTTGTGGAGCAGCTGGTGGGTTCAAACCAGTGACCTTTTGGTTAGCAGCTGAATGCTTTAAACACTGCACCACCAGAGCATTTTGCAACAGGCTTTTAAAAATTATGAGCATGAGATAATGTAAAGTCATTTTACAGATTTATTTCTTTAATAAAGTATTATTTACAAGATTTTATTTTAAATTTATTCAGTAATGGAATACTTTAAACCTTATTATTTTCAATATTTGCTCTGAAATTCTGAAGATATACTTAATGTCCTTTTTTTTCCCCTTAGAGCAAAAGATTGCCTAAAAGCCATAATGAAAAGGGTAAATCATAAAGTTCCTCATGTTGCTCTTCAGGCATTGACTGTGAGTAAAAGTCCTGTTATTATTTAATCCAATTTCTAAGTGTTTGTTTATTTCAACAAATTAAATAATATTTCAATATTGGTACATTAATTTTTATTTTAATTAATAGCTTCTTGGAGCTTGTGTGGCAAACTGTGGAAAGACCTTTCATTTAGAAATATGTTCCCGAGATTTTGCAACAGAAGTACGTGCTGTGATAAAAAATAAGGTAACTTTTAAAAAGAGAAGACATTTAAGTTGTTAAAAAAGAATATATACACACACACACACACACACACCCCATATATATTTAACTATATATAGTATTAATGAAGTTGTATTATAAGTGAAATAATGTTTAGATAAATTTAGAATTAAACAAAATTCCTATTCTGAAATTTGATGTTTTTGTAACACCAAAAATTTTTCATTCCCGAAACATGTATCATTGATAACGTTGTTGTTGTTATGTGCAGTCAAGTTCTGGTAGCAGTCTACCAGATCTCCACTCTAGCTAATCTTTATTGGGGAGCTCTGGTGGTGTAGTGCCTAAGGAACTTGACTGCTAACCAGAAGGCTGGTGGTTCAAACCCACCAGCCACTCCTTGGAAGAAAGATTGGGCAGTCTACTTCCATAGAGATACCGCTTCGGAAACCCAAGGAGGGGTCGCTATGAGTCAGAGACGACTCGACGGCACATAACAACAGCAACAATCTTTATTGAGAGCTGGTAAGCAGGCACAGCTTTAAACATTTTACACGTACAGTCCGTCCCTTGGTATCTGCTCAGAATTAGTTGCAGGACCCCCACAGGTACCAAAATCAGTGGATGCTCAAGACCCTTATATAAAATGGCATAATATTTGCAAATAACTTACACACGTCTTTCCCTGTACTGTAATTCATCTCTAGCTTACTTTATAATACCGAATACAAAGTAAATGCTATATAAATAGCACTTTATGCTCCCTCTTAGCCATTGAACCTTTGACCAATTAATTCCTTTTTAAGAGCCTTTTAAAAATTTTTTTTCTTTTGAGTATTTTTGATTCTTGGTCGGCTGAGTCTGCAGACGCAAAAACCACAGATGTGAAAGCTGTGGATTGACTGTACTGTTTTATTTATAGTTCTTAACAACCCTTAGAGTTAGGTTCTGTTATTATTCCTGTTTTACAGATGGAGAATCAGACTTAGAGAGAAGTAACTTGTCCAAGGTCATGCTGTAGTAAGTGGCATTGCTAAGATACAGATAAAAGTTTCTGTGACTATAGCCATTCTCTTGGACTGACTTGCATGGCGAGCAAAGGGTGCATTTATTTTAGAGTGTGGTGGTGAGGGCTTCATTTTTGTGGTTTTATTTTTGTTTTCTTGAGGCAGAAAGTTTAAAATACCATTATTTTACCATTAGTGACAAAAATCTCAATTTTAGTTTAATTGACTATGAAAAGCTTAATCTGAGAACATAGAACAGAAGACATGGCCTCTGGATATAAAATATTTGTTGTCATCATAGGAAGACTTAGAAATTGATGCTCAAAAAGGTTAAATTTATAAGAAATAGTTATAATTTAAGAACTCTGGTGGCGTAGTGCCTAAGGCATTTGACTGCTAACCAAAAGGCTGGAGGTTCAAACCCACCAGCCACTCCTCAGGAGGAAGTTTGGGCAATTTACTTCCATAGTGATACCTCCTCAGAAACCCAAGGAGGGGTTGCTATGAGTTGGATCTGACTCAGCAGCAGTGAATAGTTACAATTTAACATGTAAATAGACATCTTTCAATTCTTGGCCAGGATTTGAATCTAGACTTTTGTTGATGTTTATAAAATTAAAGAGAATTTTAATAGTAATTCTTTTTGGTAGTTAAGTAATCTAAATGATAACTTTAACCACTGATTTTTTCCCCCCCTGGTTTTTTTTTTTTTTTTTTTTTTACATTAAAAGGCTCATCTTAAAGTATGTGAAAAACTGAAATCTTTAATGGTGGAGTGGTCAGAAGAATTTCAGAAGGATCCTCAGTTTAGTCTGATATCTGCAACTATTAAATCTATGAAAGAAGAAGGAATTACTTTTCCTACAGCAGGTTCTCAGGTAAATTCTTTCTGACTCATGGTCGACCCTATGCTGTTTTGAAGGTATATATGTTATGTAAAAATTCGGCACGGTAGGTCTTAATTATATTTTTCATCTATTCTCTCCAAGTGCCTATATAATAATAATGCTTTATGTTCAGTAGTCATTCTAATTGTTGAATGAATGTCTGTATATCAGAACTTTGAGAAGTATATTAGTCACACGTAATCTTTTAAGATACTATTCTTAAGTCTTGCAAAGGGCATACATGTGTAAGACAGTCCCTGTGTTCAAAAAATTTATAGTAATTTAAAGGGTAACCATATATGTGTGAAAAAATAACATTACGTATAAGTGACAGATATGGTTGTGAGGGGTACAAAGACTAGATGCTGTCTTGCTTAATACCATGGAGAGAGAGGTAACTGTAGACTGGCATACTGAAAGAGAACCATAGAAAAGATAGAATTTTAAGACTTTATTGTCTTTTAGAAGATAGGCGTGAAGAAGCCATATTGTGTAAAATGACATGAGCAAATACATAGAATTGGGAAAGTTCAAAGCTTGTTTGTTGAAGAGTGAATACGTTTGGAGTGAATAGTTTATATGTAAAATGAGTGGAACTGTAAGACTTGAAATTTATTTGGCCATAAGGGATAATAACTTCAGTAGGTTTAAAAGGGTGGTGGCATTAGATTTTGTCTAACTTGAGGAGAGAGGAGACACACCATCAGCATCAGCCCAAGCTGATTCCTGAGTTTGAGGTCAGACATATATCTGCTCTCCAATTTCACCAGTTCTGACACTAGCTATCCCTCCTGTGGCACTCTACTATTCTGCTGGGTTTGATAATTAAATGCAGTGGCCATACATAACTCACAGACCACATTCATGATTATGGAGTTTATTAGGGAAGTAACAGGTTGCAGCTCAGGGTCAGGATCAACCTGGAAATAATAGAACAACTCAGAAAAGAGGATACAGTTCATCAATCAGGTTAGCTTTGAACCTCTCAGTTCCTTCTCTGCTATTCCAGCAGGCAGCAGACTTTGCTCTTGGTTCTTTCTCTGTAGGTTTGTCTAGCTGCTATAGCTGCATTGTTCCATGGGCCGGAAAACCCACTGTGCCATCTCACACAAATTTCCTGGCTCAACTGCTGCCCATTTCTCTGCCACTGGACTCTGCCATGCTTGCTGCCGTCTCACACTGTCTCCAGTATTATAGTTGTCTTGTGTCCTGGGCTTAGGGAGATTCTCAGCATAGGGACCCTCGGTCCAAAGGATGTGTTCAGCTCCTGGCTCGTCTTCATGGTAGTGAGGTTCTCTCCAGCTTCTGGTACAGGTTCTTTTTAAACCTAAGCAGCAAAACTGATCAATCCCCTTGGTGTGCCAAATAGACACCGTATTTGCATATGCCACCCAATCTCAGCAAGAGTTTTTACATACCTTATTTGTATCATCCCACCAGTCATCTGTGGGTGTTATAAGACCATGGCTAGAAGAGCCGTATAAAAGCAGTTTACTGCACTGCAGTAGGATACATGTGGAAGGCGGGATAATGAGTCACAGGGTGGGCTATTTGTCTAGGTCTGGTGGTGTAGTGCCTAAGGCATTTAACTGCTAACCAGAAGGCTGGCAGTTCAAACCCACCAGCCACTCCTCAGAAGGAAGATTGGGCAATCTACTTCCATAGAGATACCACCTCAGAAACATAAGGAAGGGTCACTGTGAGTTGAATCGACTTGACGGCATTGAGTTTTTTTTTTTTCCCCCCCTGGTTTGTGGGAGAAAAACTGTATCTTGGGTTTGGCTCGTGCCCTCTACATTTGTAAGACTTTGAAAGCCTTTGTTAAGATGTGAGCTAGAGAAAAGTAGCTGAAAGGAATAATTATTCTTTTATTTTAGGCTGTAGGCTAAAACAACAAATAGAATCTTTAGTTTACCACCCTAAGGGTTCAGTAAAGAAGCCCTGTTGGCACAGTGGTGGTTAAGTGCTTAGCTGCTAACCTAAGTGTTGGCAGTTTGGACACACCCGGCAGCTCCACAGGAGAAAAACCTGGTGGTCTACTCCTGTATGGATCACAGCCTAGAAACCCTGTGGGGCAATTCTACTTTGTCACATGGGGGTGCTATGAATTGAAAATCAAGTTGCTGGTATCCAGCAACAACAAGGTTTCAATGTAGTTTTGGTACAAAAGTCATAGTAAAGAACAAGCATTTTCCTATTTGGTCCTTTCTGCATTTGTTCTCAAAAGTCTGGGTTAAAGAACTGGTTGATGATTCAGGGTCCTGAATATCTCTGTCTTAAATATTAGCAGAATAGATGCCATTAAATTTAAGCATGACCTTCCTTAATCTTCTATTATGAAGAGTCAATCCCTTTCAACCACATGAGTAGTAAAAGAGGGCTTAAAATGTGTTCATAGAACTGTACAAGTTGTCTCTGTCCTCCCTCCACTTCTCTTCATTGCCTGGTCTTCTCTTCAGTGATTATCATTGACTCATTGCTGGCACTTCTTGTGTAGCCTTCTCTCATTGAGTCAGAGACTTTGGATAGTTAACTGCAGTGAAGAAAGATTCATATTTATTTACTGAATAAGTATTTGGAGTACTTTATGTATGCCAAATTCTATGTGAGACACTGAAATTTATGCAAAATGGAAGCCAGTTCATGCCCTTTGTGAGTTTATAATGTTTTCTTGAAAATTGTGATGTTTTATTTTAATATTTGAAAATAGTATTTAAAATTATCCTAAAGAACTTTACTTTTAAATGAAACTCATTAGTTACAGCATATTTTTTTAAAATTAGCATGTGTAAGTAATTATAGAGCTTATATTTTTCCTGAAAGTGGTGGTTGTGTTCATTTTACTCCTACTTTTACAGACTGTCTCAGCTGCTGCCAAGAATGGCACATCAACGAGCAAAAACAGAGAAGATGAAGACATAGCTAAAGGTAAATGATCAAGCTTGTATGGTTTAGTGTTGCTTAAAGTATTCTTGTTAGATTATTTTATTGAAATGAAATAATAAAAGTAGGTTAGACTTTAGTTTTACCTTAGATATAAAAACTAGTAAGGTCTGAAAAGTAGGAAAAAACAAATGATGCAGTATAAAATGAATTTAGTTCATTATCCTTAACAATAGTTAGCAGCTCTGGTGGCTCAGTGCCTAAGGCATTTGACTGCTAACCCACCAGCCACTACCATGGAAGGCAGATGAGTTAATCTACTACTGTAAAGATTTACCATCTTGGAAACCCAATGGGAGTCGCTATGAGTTGGAATCAACTTGATGGCATTCGGTTTGAGTTTTTTTAACAATAATATGTAATTAATGTTCTACCTTTAGAGAGATTACATTTCACCTTCTCTTTAATGCTAAAATTATGAGTCAAGAACAGAAATATGTTCACGCTTGTCCTATATGGAAAACTACCCATATTATAATGTCACAATCTGTTTCCTATAAAAATAATTGCTGTTGTATATGACAGGCTGTGATAATAAGGAATGAGCAAAAATTTTATTTTAAAAAGTGTCATGGTTCTCTGCCTCCATTCCCTCTTCCCCAAGAAAAAAAGAATCTTAAGGTTTTACTTGGACGAATAAAATACTCACTTGATTTATTTTTATTAAATATGTTATCTAATACTTCTTTTTAAACTTTTAAAAAAAATTTAACTTAATTCTGGTTATCTTTTTTTAAAACCAGCTATTGAATTATCATTGCAAGAGCAGAAGCAGCAGCACACAGAAACAAAATCCTTATATCCATCTGCAGAAATTCAGTTAAATAGTAAGGTTGCAAGGAAAGTGAGAGCTTTATACGATTTTGAAGCCGTTGAGGATAATGAACTCACCTTTAAATGTGGTGAAATTATTATTGTTTTGGATGACAGGTATGTTTTAAATTATTTCTGGAAAAATTTAAAAGTTGTTAAGTAGAAATCTAGAGGCCTGAATATTCAGTTTTTTGACTAAGGTATGGTTAAGTCATAATGGAGCCTCTTCATTTCTTAATTGTTTTTTCCTAAACTAAAAAAAAAAAGAGACTAGGTAATGGAAATTTCTTCTTCTTTTGTTAAATTTGGTGATGAAAAACTTTTAATATCTTGGGTGAACGATTTACTTAATAATGTTGATGGCCGTAGTTGGGAAACATAGCCAGTCATCTCAACACATTAGGGGTTATGTGTACCAAAATTACTGGCAAAAAATGTTACATATGTAGCTATATAATTTTTGATCAGTGCAACTAAAAGCTATACTTGTTCCTTGCCAATTTTTTTTTTAAATTAACAAAAAATATATTGTGGTAAAATATATATAACAAAATGTTTGCCATTTTAACCATTTTTAAATGCATAGTTCAGTCACATTAATATATTCTCCATGTTGTGCTACCATCACCACTATTTCCATAAGTTCAGCATCACCCCATACAGAAACTCAGTACTCCTTCAGCAATAACTCCTATGTCTTTCTCATACTTACCCTTGGTAGCCACTAACAAACTTTGTCTTTATTCATTTGCCTAATATAGATAAGTGGGATCATACACTCTTTTTCCTCTTGTGTCTGACTTCTTTGATTCAGCATAATGTTTTCAAGGTTCATCCATGCCCTAGCGTGTATCAGAACTTCCCTTTTTATGGTTGAATAATATTCCCTTGTGTGGATATACCACATTTTGCTTATTTATTCATCTATTGGTGGACACTTGGGTTGTTTCTGCCTTATAACTATTGGGACTAACGCTGTAATCCTTCCCAATTCTGAATGTACTGCACTCTCCCTCACAATTTCTCTTTCTCTGTCACTTAAAGTTCTAGTAGAGAATCAGTTTATTTCTGTTGGACCTAATTCTGTTACTTATTTTTGCTTTCATAAAAACTTGAAGTTTAGCAAGTGAGACCTAACAGCTTGTAGCTATGAACAGAGGCTGTAAATACTTTCAATATCCAGTGCAAATAACTGGTAAGGATACACTAATCTAGTATATTTTCAGATGGCTGTATACACAAAATGGTTTTACTCTTTTGAGCAAATATTTTTTGAGTAAATATTATTTTGAGCAAACATATAATAAGGTCAGTGTATAAATGAAAAAAAAAAAAGATGAATTAGGACATAGTTTTGTCTTCATAAAACCTAGGATATAGTAAAGAAGTTAAAATTTTAAGGAAAGTAGATTGTGGTGAATGCCACAGAAGAAATACTATTGGGTTCAGAGGAAAGCAGATTCATACCCAGTAAAAGCACATGGGAAAGGCTTATCCAGGAAATCCCTTTGTGGTGAGCCTTGATTGATTTTTAACAGAACAGGAAAATTGTTGAAAGATACTGAGAGTAGAAAAAGGAAGATATCTGAGGCAGAATTATGTAATCAAGATAGCACTGTGTTCATTTAGAAAACTGCCAGTTTTTCCTTTAAAGAATTAGGTGTTTTTCCTTAAATAATCCTCTTGAGTGGAGCACATGATACCTGAATACTGAAGGTCTAAATGTAGTCTTTGAATATTTACCAAAATAAAATAAAACTTAATCAAACTTACACATTTCTTGTTTGTTTGTTTTTTTTCAAATTTTTAATTGTGTAGTTTTTAGGTGAATATTTACACAGCACATTAGGTTCTCCTTTAACAATTTTTATATTGATTATTCTGTGCCATTGATTACAGTTTTTGCATTGCATAAGCACTCTCATTATTTCCATTCTGCTTGTTCTATTTACATTGATCTACCTTCATTTCCTTCTTACCTTTGCTTTTGGGTAAATAGTGACCATTTGGTCTCATACAGTTTATTGTTTGAAGGGAGCATATTACTCCGGATGCTACTATATATTTTGTAAGCCAGTCTATTATTTGAAAGATGACCTGCAGAAATAGTTTCAATTCCACATTTAAAGGTTATCTTAGTTTTAGAGGTTCTTCTGGTCTCTATCAGTCCAGTAGGAATTTGAGTTTTATTCTACATTTTCTTCTATTTTATCTGGGACCTTCTACTGTGTCCCTGGTCACAATGGTTAGTAGTGCTACTTGGGTACCATCTAGTTGTTGTAGTCTCAGGTAAGAAGAGGCTGTGGTTCATTTAGGCTGTTAGTCTCATGGATTAATTTCTTTTTTTGAGCCTTTGATTTTCTTCATTCTCTTTTGCTCCATATGAGTAGAGACCAAGAGTTATATCTTAGATAGCTGCTCTCAAGCTTTTAAGACCCCAGATGCTACTAACCAAACTAGGATGTAGAACATTATCTTTGTAAACTTTGTTATGCCAGTTGAGTAAGTTGTCCCCTTGAGATTGTGGTCCCAAGAATTTTAACCCTGTAGACCAATGCTGTGAGTTGTTTGGATATATCTGGGAAACCTCTGTAACTGTGCCTCCTTCGTGGTTTGTTATACATGTGGATATATATGCAGCACACACAAATGTGTATATACATATGCCTACAGATACACCTCTATGTGCATATTCATTTACTCACATATACCCCCTATACGCGTATATGCATCGATATCTATATACATAAGCACAAACATGTTTTCATTCTTGTTGCAAAATTGTATATATGATAGCATTTACAGAAATTGTCCCTTTTTCTCATGGACTTCTTTGTGTTGTTATTTATTTTGATGAAGTTGTGCTGACTTCACCCATATTTGTTCTTGCCTTTCCAATCACTTAATATAACAAGTATCTGTTATCTGAAAAGTGGTTCCCTCTCCTCTTCTCATCCCTGGTAACCATCAAAGAACTTTGCTTTCTGTGTGTATATCTATTCTTGACTTTATATAGTAGTGAGACTATATAATATTTAACTTTTTGTGATTGACTTCATCTTTTTACTAGCTTATATGTTTCCAGTATTCTTGTACAACTATAAATCTATTTCTAAAAGTAATAGAAACAACTACAAAATGAATGGATTTTTCCTCTAAGATTCAAATTTAGAGCATTACTTTTTTGTAATAGGAATATTTTTCTAGAATAAATTGCTGCTCACAAGGTAAATATGATACTGATCATGGGGCAGGTACTTTAGCAGGTCTGTTCTACCCTGTGCTGTGTACTAGCTCAATTCTCTTCTTACTTTCCTCTGTTCTAATTGCTGTACAGCTACGTGTGTACAGTAGCCTTTGACATCATTTGGCATTCATGTGGCTGAAATGCATTATGTACCTACTATAGTCTACTGGAGGAGCTCTGGTAGCATAGTGCCTAAGGCACTTGACTGCTAACCAGAAGGCTGGCGGTTCAAACCCACCAGCCACTCCTCGGAAGGAAGGTTGGGCATTCCTACTTCCGTAGTGATACTGCCTCGGAAACCCAAGGAGGGGTCGCTATGAGTCGGGGCCGACTTGATGGCAAATAACAACAACATAGTCTACTGGCTTACAGCAAGTAAAGAGTTATGTTATTATGTTGTACCATGTTTTTCTCATTGATGTCTGATTAAACCCCAAATTCATTAAATAACAGACCATATGAAACTATTTTCAGTTGAAACTTATCACTGCAGAAGAGAAATCTTTTCTTTGTAGCTGCTGGAAGAACTCAACATGATGGCATGTGCAGGTCGCTTGCTGTGATTTTAATGATAGAACAGCCCAATTGTACAATAGCCACAAATGTGCTTACCAGCACATGTTGGGTTAAATTAAACATCATTCTGGGTGATTGTTTATTGCTGGCAAGATTTTAAACACAAATGCAAACTTAGAATTTAAAATTACCTGGCACTCTTAGGTTAAAAGGAGGTCATCCATATGATCCAGGAGATAACTGTATTCATTGCTTTTAGATAGCTGTGGAAATGAAAGCACAAATTAAAAATTTCGCATACATAACTTGAGTTTGCTTAGAAGTATGTCATCCAGGGACCTCAATTTAAAAAACACTGAGCTAATAAAAAAAAAGACATATTCCTTATTAACAGTTTCTTATTAACAGAGTACAGGCAGTTCCTGGGTTATGAACGTCTGAATATCTGAATGACTTAAGGACTATGCCACCAGAGCTCCCAAAGACAACTCCTACTTGCCTTTTAATGTTACATAAACTTGTCCTCACTTTGGAAGAATTGAACCAACCCCTCTTACAAGAAGTTCTTCATCACGATCACATGCAGTTTTTAAAGGGGTTGTACCTTTTCTTGCACTAAAATAAGGCTAAATAAGAACTGTATGCACTTATTCTGACCTAACCTATAAATTCAACATAAAGACAGTTAGGAATGGATATTGTTCATAACCTGGGGACTGCCTGTGTACCCAAAAAGCCCTGCATTTTCTGTGTTTTAGCTTTATCTCACCTTCCCTTGTCTGTTCTCTCTGTGTCATTTCACACAGTCAGGTGGAACTCTTACAGTTCCCAAATGCCATGTTCCGATTAGACCTCTGTGGCATTGTACATTTGGTTCTCTCTGCCTGGAATGCCCTGTCAAAACAGGCAAAAGCATTTAGAAAAGAAAGAACTTTATATCCAAGTAAGGTTTGTAAAGGAGCTGAGACTTTAGAAGGGTTGGCTCCCTAATAAAAAAAAAAATAGAACAGGTATATAAAGGAGCTCCCCCCCCACACACACACACAAGATTTACCAAGTTTCCAAGCTTCTAGTTGGTATGTTTATGGTAGAAATAGAAGTTTTCTCACATGATTGTCATATTCTGAAGGGCATCATTTACGTTTAGCCATCCTCATTGCAAAGGTCAGCAAGTAAAGTTGTTTTGTTAAGAAGTCGGTAGTATCCTCCGAGTTCATCCATGTTATACAGTTTTTTGCAGATTCTGCATTATTCTTTAGTGTTGCATAGTATTCCATTGTGTGTATGTACCATAGTTTGGTTATTCACTCTTCTGTTGATAGACACCTAGGTTGTTTCCATCTTTTTGCTATTGTAAATAGTGCTGCAATGAACATAACCAAAAAATCAAACTCTCTGCCGTTGATTTCAACTTATAGCCCTCCTTTGGTTTCCGAGGTGGTATCTCTATGGAAGTAGATTGCCCAGGCTTCCTTCCTTCCAAGGAGTGGCTGGTGGGTTTGAACCATCAACTTTCTGGTTAGCAGTCAGCTGCCTTAGGCACTATGCTACCAGAACTCCCCTGATGAGCATGGGTTTGCATATATCTGTTCTTGCCCTGGCTTCTTTCACTACTTTAGGTGAGATATATATATATATACACACACATACACCTAGTAATGGGGATTGCTGGATCAAATGGTATTTCTAATTCCAACTTTTTTTTTTTTTTTTTAATTGTGGTTTGGGTGAAAGTTTACAGAGCAAATTCATTTTCCATACAGCAGTTTACATACACTTTGTCTCAGGACATTGACTGTAATTTCCCATAGTGCAACAGCTCTCTTTCCACTTCCTCCCCATAGTTAACTTTTCTTTGTGTTCTTCACTCCCATGCAGTCCTGTCCCCTGAGCTGTCTCCCTGTGGATACACAGCCCTTCTGTTCTTCCATGATTGATCTCTCCAAGGAGTGTATCTAGTTAATGTAAATGATCAGCTCACGTGCTTGTCTTTTGTTTGGCTAGAAGCCATGGGAGTGGGTTCAGTTTCAGACCTGAAGGGCAGCTAGGGGCTATAGTCTCAGTAGTTTTCACCAGGCTCTTTGAGACTAACATAGATCCTCCTCCAACTGTTTGACAGTCGTAGCCGGGCACCATCTAGTTCTTCTGGTCACATAGTCATATAGGCTGAGGATCACCTGGTGTACCAGTTGCTTGGACTAATTGTTTCCACGTGTCTTTGGTTTTCTTCATTCTCCTTTGTTCTGGATGAGGAGAGACCCATCGTTTTATCTGGATAGCAGCTAGCAAGCTTTTAAGATCCCAGTTGCTGTTCGCCAAAGTAGGATGTTTTTGTGTAGTATGTTATGCCAGTTGAGGCTTGATATCAGCATGGTCCCAAACCCACAGGTCTAACTACTCACTCCCTCTGGGTAGCTGGCTGTGGCCAAGAAATGACTACAACCTTGTGCCTTGTCAGCTGTACTATCTACTTGGGAATTCTTACAGAATATACAAATACACTTGTAGAAACGTTGTCTGCTAACCCTATATAAACCTTTCCTTGACTTTTTAAAATAATAGACTGATACAATATTTGTTTTTCTATGATTGACTTATTTCACTCAGCATAATGTCTTCCAAATTCATCTACGTTTTGCGGTGTTTCGCAGAGTCTGTGTTATTCTTTAGGGTTGCGTAATATTTCATTGTGTGTATGTTCCATAATTTGGTTATCCATTCTTCTGTGATGGGCACCTAGGTTATTTCCATCTTTTTGCTATTGTAAATAGTGCTGCATTGAACATGGGTTTGCATATATCTGTTCTTGTCCTGGCTCTCACTTCTTTAGGATGTATACCTAGTAATTGAGTTGCTGGGTCAAATGATATTTCGAACTCCAACTTTTTAAGGAATCACCTTACTGCTTTCCACGGTGGTTGTATCATTTTACAGTCCCACCATCAGTGTATGAGAGTGCCAGTCTCTCCACATCCCTGCCAGCATTTGTTATTTTCTGTCCTGTTGAACTTTTCTATTAGTGCTGGGGCCAGTTGGTATCTCATTGTTGTTTTGATTTGCATCTCTCTAATGGCTGATGATCATGAACATTTCCTCATGTGTTTGTTGACTGCCTGAATATCCTCTTTGGTGAAGTATCTATTCATGTCTTCTGCCCATTTTTTTAATTGGATTATTTGTCTTTTTGTTGTTGAGATGTTGGGGTTTTCTCTTTCCAGTCTTTTCGGTGACCTTTGCTTTTTTCATGTATGATGTTCTTGATGTCATCCCACAGCTTGTCTAGTCTGCAGACATCGGTGTTCACTGTGTCAAATCTATTTTTCATATAGTCTCTGAATTCAGGTGGCGTATACTCAGGTTGTAGGGTCCTACCCTGTAGGTACAAAAATTATAATTCTATAGGAATAAATAAATCTAACAAAGACATGTGAGGCCTCTGTGCATCATGATATAGAGGCAATATAAAATTCTTTGAAAGATAAAAAAGAAAATCTGAATAAATGGAGAGAGATGCTATGTTTAATACTGTAAAGATTTAATTAACTTATTTATTGAAAAATCAAAACCCTAGTAAGACTTTTTTCCTGAGAACCTAAAAAACAGATTTTAATTATTATAGACAATAGATAAAAAAGAATAATACAGGGAAGATACTTTCTTTGCAGAGTATTAAGGCATATATATTTACAAGGTGTAGTAAATAGACATGTATACCACTACAGCAGAATGGAATCCAAAAGTACATTTGTGAACAAAGAACTACTTGCTCTTTGAAAGATGGAGTATCATAAATCATTAGGAAAAATGACAGACGGTTCCATGGTACAAATAAAACATGATTCAGCTTTATACAGTCCGTAAGTTATAATTCTAGATGAATTCAAGACCTAAACATGGGAAGGAGATAAAAAATTATTATATTTATAAAAATTATAAGTATATAGGAGAATTGATGTATAAGTATAAGTGAAGTGAAAGAGACTACGTTAACTTAGTTAAATATCAGTCCTCAGGCCCAGTGACTCACTCCCTCAGAGTTTTTGGTTATGGCTAAGAAGTTTTCATAACTTTGCCCCCAAATACTAAATTACATATTTACATACCTGCATCCGAAGAGGAAGGAGCTCTGGTAGCATAGTGCCTAAGGCATCTGACCGCTAACCGGAAGGTTGGTGGTTTAAACCACTGGGCAATCTACTTCCGTAAAGGTTTACCGCCTTGGAAACCTAGTGGGGGTTGCCATGATTTGGAATCAACTCGATGGCAGTGGGTTTTTTTTTAGTCCAAAGAAGAGTTGAGATATATTTTCAGCATATATAAATACATATATGTAAAAATACCTTTTGTCAAACCTAGACATACTTGTGGGTATAGTCCCATTCTCCTTCCCACACCTATTCAGTTTATGTGTCTAGCTATGTATCCACTCTTAGATTATTGATTATTATTATTCCTGTTATTGCAGGATTGTGAATGAATTTCTCTGAATTCAGGTGGGGTATACTCTTGGGGTTGTTGATGAAGGGGATTTCAGCATTAACTATAATGTTTTATTTTATTAAAAGCCCAGAACCAAATAAGACCAATTGCTAATTAGTTTTAAAGCTAAGTATGGGAATATAGATAATTGTCTTATTTGTGCTTTTCTATATTTTTTATTAAATAAGGAGAATGAGTATTAAATATATGAACTAGTGTTTTAAAAGTAGGCTAAACTAAATTTTTATTTTAATTCCTCTTAACACTAGTGTACTCACATGTAGAGAAATGACATTTTTTCACTGTATTTTCAGTGATGCGAATTGGTGGAAAGGAGAAAATCATAGAGGAATAGGACTCTTCCCATCTAACTTTGTAACAGCTAATTTAAACATAGAGTCTGAGGCAGGTAAGTTAAATCTGAGAGAAGGTTAAATATATTAAAGGATTTTACACTTGAATTTTATGGCAATTTTGAATATAGGTATTCCTCGATTTATTACAATGACACTCATAAAGTTGGTTCTGATGTTGGTCAAATGCCTTATTTTTATTTATTTATTTTTTTGTTTTCATTATTATTGCCTTTTATTAGTATATTTACAAATTTGCTCTTTATTTGTCTTTGGGGATTAGCATGAATATGATTGCATCGGCACATTATGTGCTGCAACATTGTATGTACTATGAATTAGTAACATGTACCAAAAAACAAGAACAGAAAAATGGATGGTTGTAAGTGTGGTTGGTCATAACGTTGCCATAGGTTGAGGACTACCTGTATAAGGTAGATTTGCAGTTAACTCTTATTTTAAATTATTTATTGATAGGCATTACAACTTAACTGATTTCTTATCAGTTAAGGTTGTTAACTTATACCAGGTCACTTCCAAGAACTATTTCCTTACAACATTTAAAGTCCTCTGAGAGTTAACTTAGTTAAATATCAGGCATAAAATCATCTATGACCATATGAATATTTGAATCAACCTAATTATATAGTACAAGAGGCAGTTTGTGTCTGTGTAGTACAAAGAATATTGTTTTTATTCATAACCAGTGTGTTGAGGGGTGGGTATGTTAGGGCTTGAGGAGTGAATGCTGAGTGTGATTACAGTGGTTAGTTAGGATTTCTCCTAAGTTTTACACTTTGTCTCATATTGACCGATCCTCTGGAACTTGAGGCATAATAAAGCAGTATAATCAAGACTCTGATGTGCCTGGTTCTGATCTTCTGAATGTCACTTAGTTCTGCAGCAGTAGGCAGTACTCTTCATTTGCCTTCAGCCTTGCTTAGAAAGCATTCCATTTCTTATGCAGGCAAGGAAGTGGGAGGAGTTGAATGTGAAGGAACAGGCGATCATACTGATGATGATGATCAGAAGTGATAGCTAATGATTTTTCAGCACTCACTATTCCTCAGGCACTGTGTAAAGTCTTTTGTTTGCGCTCTCATATAACTTTCGCATCAACTCTGTAAGATAGGTATTTTGTTATCCCGTGTTACAGATAAGGAAATTGAGGCTGAAGGGTTATGTGACTTGTAAGTGATAGACCCAGGATTCTAAAGTCTGCCAATCTGACCTTAGAATGTACTTAGAATGACTCACTGAGGGATAGATACATAAATGCTAATCCTCACCAGTTCTAGAGAAAGAACTAGTGTTTGCTCTACTCATTGTGTACAGCATCATTTTTATATGAGAGTGGTGTATTCAGTTAAAATGAGGTTGAGAGTGATGAATACGCATTTGAATACTGAGTACTTTGCCACTATTTATACTTTTTATTTCTGTAGTCTGGCTCTCTGTGTAGGTTTGAAAATTGGAGAGGTGGTTATTAATAACTTGATAGAGTATGCTCAGGAATCCTCTCTGAGTCATTTCCCTTTGGCATAGGCTGGAGAAACTGAGCTACAGTCTTAAAAGTAGAAAATATTTTATTACTCTATTGCTCCCTCAGAATGAAACTTCTGTGAGGGCAAGATTCTTGTCTGTTTTATTCCCTGGTATATTCTCAGTGTCTAGAATAATGCCTGGCACATAATAAGTACAAAATAAGTATTTGTGACATGAATGACTAAACATATGTAATAATGTATGTTGATTATGAAATGTGATGCCTATTTAAAGGGCTTCCTTTCTTTTCCTTAAGTGAAATTATGGACTACTTAGACTAAAATACCAAAGTGAATACTGAAGAACTTAAAGTTTACTTTGTTTCCATAGCAGCTGTGGACAAATTGAATGTAATTGATGATGATGTGGAGGAAATTAAGAAATCAGAGCCCCAGCCTGTTTATATAGATGAGGTAGAGTTCTTCTTTGGTTTAATACTATGTAGACTTTATAATGTTATTTTATATATTTGAGAATGCATGGAAGGAATGATCTTTATATTCATTGAAGTTAGAACTCTTTTGAGTTTTTAAAGTGTCCTATTAACTTCTTTTTTATATATATAACGTTTTTAGGATAAGATGGATAAAGCTCTGCAGGTACTGCAGAGTATAGATCCAACAGATTCAAAACCAGACTCCCAAGACCTCTTGGACTTAGAAGGTACTTAGTAAATATTAAGGGTTACTTTAATGTCATTTAGCTATTTTTAGTGGCTCATTATGTTCTCTGCCTTGTACTTGCTTTGAGAAATTAGAAATAAATTTCTGGTGGGGAATAGACAAATAAAATAGTTGAAATATTACTTGAAAGGTATCATTGTAAACTTCCAGATCCTTATCAAAGCAGAAGTCTTTGTTTTTTCTGTAAGCCCACCAGTGAAATTGGCTGAAGAGATTTGTGATCCAACAAAAGGAGAAATTAGAAGTAATACCATGTTAAATTAATTGAGTCAGAATATTAGAAAATCTTATTTCTGTTTAATTCATGATTCTGAAGATAAAAATTATGCATGATCAGTGTTAACTTTGTAATGTAGTCATTGGATGTATGCTGATGTGTATTTTAGTCCCTAAGAAAATTTGAAGCAATTCAAACAAAGTTCCTATGCTTTTCTTAAAATCCTTTAGAAGAAAAATCTCTGGTAAATGTATAAGTCTTTTTGTATTGTTTTATGGAAGAAAATCTGACTGTAAGTATAGAATATTGTGCTATACATCATTGTTTACATTTGAAAATATACAAAATGTATAATTTTTAAATGGCTCAAGTAAAATGAAAAATTCATATCTAATATGCACATGGTTAAATATTTTATGTACTCTGGATGTTGTTCATTTTACTTATATAAGCATAGTTGTCCAGGTAGTTGTAAGATGTTGGGATAATGCCAAATTTTGCAGTACGTAAACTTGTTTAATAAATAGTTCCAAGGAATATGGTGGGATTTCTATTTTGATTTTGACCTTGCCTTTGGTTGTACGATATTAACATTGGTACTAAATAGTATTATAATTAGATCTTTTGTAGTCCTTTTCTCTAGTGTTGACTTACTTCTTTTTCTCTGTGTACTAAACATGGTGTTTGGATATTGGTGCTTTGCTGTTAAAAATTGTTGAAACTGGCATAAGGTTCTAGATTTGTAAGTATTTTTGTATTTACAGATATCTGTCAACAGATGGGTCCAATGATAGATGAAAAACTTGAAGAGATTGATAGGTGAGATTTTTGACACAAGCAATAAAAAGCATAGTTTTCTTATGTTTGTTTTTGGTGGAACTTTTAACTGGAGAAGTTTTTGTGGAACTGTACAATCTATTGGAATTGTTCAGCTTCCCAAGCTCTTGCAAAATGGATAGCAAGGAGGTACTTCTCCTTTTGGTAGTACCCCTCCCTCACCCCCATAGCAATGTAGTGTGTTTAGAATCATAAACTCTTGCACTTACAGCACCAATCTTTCTTAACTTGGGCTGAAATTGAGGGATAAAAAGTAATGAAGAATAAAGTGAATAGAGGCATAACATGGAAACAGGAATCTTAGCCAAGTGCTCACTTGTTATGCAATGAGAAGTGGTACAGGTTTCCTCCACTCTCTGAAAGAGTGTTCCCATGAAGTCTTTCATAAGCAGAAATGGTATAAAGCAAAAAAGTAATTACCATTAATTTATATGGGAAAAATTTTTGTGTATCCCCAGACCCAAAAAATAACCAGAAATCACACTAAATAACACATGAAACCTAAAATAACACTAACATATAGTAAAAGCGGAAATGATATGATAAATACACAGCCTAAAGGGTCACTATGAGTTAAAATCAACTCGATGGCAGTGGATTTTGGTTGTATAAAGTAAAAATGATGTATGTCCAATGTAGTTTCCAGGGAAGGAACTTGGCAGTGCCTCTCTAGCTGCTTGGGGTGCATGCTGCCTCTTTAATGACTCACTTGAACCCTAGTTTCACTTTTCCACAAAAGCAAAAATCCTCTTCAGATTTCTTTTGGTTAGTGAAAGTAAATACTAATACATATCTTTGGTAAAAATCGTGACATTGAATACAATTCACCCCCATGCAACAGCTCCCCTCCCATTTATTCTTAGTAGTTACCTCTTCCCTGTGTCCATCCATCTATACACTCCTGCCCCCTGAACTGTCTCCCTGTGCATAAACAGCCCTTCTTTCTCCTATGATTGTTCTCTCCAAGGAGTGTATCTACCTCAGGTAAATGTTCAGCTCATCTGCCTATCTTTTGTTGGACTGGAAGCAACAGGTGTGGGTTCAATTCCAGACCTGAAGGGCAGCTAGGGGCCATAGTCTCAGTGGTTCCACCAGGCTCTATCAGACCAGCAAAACTTATGTGTGTGTGTCCCCTTTTTTTTCCCAAAAGATTTTCAGTTTTGTTCCACATTGTTCTCTCTTTCTATCTAGGATCTCCTACATAGATCCCCCTCCGAGTGGTTGACAGTGGTAGCCAGGCACCATCTTGTTCTTCTGCCCTCATAGTTGTATAGGCTGCAGATCGCACGGTGTACCAGTTGCTAGGACTAATTGTTTCCATGAGTCTTTGGTTTTCTTCATTCTTCTTTGCTCTGGACAAGGAGAGACCCATCATTGCATCTAGATGGCAGCTTGCAAGCTTTTAAGATCCCAGTCACTACTTGCCAAAGTAGGAGGTGGAACAATGTTTTGTAGTATGTTATGCCAATTGAGCTTGATGTCCCCTGGTCCCGAGCCCACAGGTTCAACTACTGAGTCTCTCTGGGTAGCTGGCTGTGAACAAGAAGTGACTACAACCTTGTCCCTTGTCAACTCTACTATATACCTGAGACTTCAGATCATACAAGTACACTTATAGGACCATTGTCTGCCAACCCTATACATGGTCTTGGGTACACTCCCCACTTCATAGATATACCTAATTTCAGCCTGTCCACCCATCTATCCACCTGTATACCCATGTTTGCCTTCACTGACAATGCAGTACTGTATATGCAAAAGGGTTCATCTTTGTTGTCTGTACCTCCCATGTACCTCTCTATGCCTTCTTCTTCCTCAGTGCCACCATGTTGATCACTCACATTTGGTACATTTCACTTCTCTTCACCCAAATCAATCAATACTTATGTCTACCTATCTAACAGTTTTCCCTCCCCTCCCATCCCACCCATGGTAACCAACAAAGAAAATTTCCTTCCATAGATAAACCTTTTCTTGTAAGTCATTAAGTATTTTGTGGGTGAGTCAGAACAGGTGCATGTGGTTCTTATTTAGCCCTATTTTAGTTTAAGACAGAAGCTCTGGTGGCACAGTAGTTAAGGCATTTGGCTGCTAACCGGAAGGTTGGAAGATAGGGAAGTCCAATGTATGAGCTGCTCCACAAGACAAAGATGAGGCAGTCTGTTTCTGTACAGGTTTACAGCCTTGGAAACCCTACAGGGCAGTTGTACTCTGTCTTATAGGGTCACTGAGAGCTGGAATTGACTCGATGGCAGGGAATTTTTTTAGTGCAAGAAAAGGTACATAACCTTTTCAATGATTTAAAAGCTACATATGCAAAAAATGAAGGTGATTATGATGAAAAATATGTTAGAAATAGGGATTGGCTCAGTCCTTTCAAAGTGAGAGCAAATTTACATAACATTAAAGGGCAAATAGGAGTTGTTCTTAGGTCTGACCTTTGGAAGTCTGTGATCTGGGACAGCTTGTAATATATAAAATAGAGCCACATTTAATAAACAGGCTTGTAGATGCTTTAGGCAAGATAAAAAGTGGCCTTTATCTTTTATAAACTTGTCTGTTGCAGAGAGTTCTTTATTACTCCCAGGGGAACAAGTAAACTTGTTCTAAGTCAGAAGGGTTTGCGCTACACTTCTTCGGGCAAATTTGGAGATGCTCTTATTTGAATTTGCTGTTATACAATAATACCTGTTTTGTTTTTTCTTTCTTTTTTTTTTTAATTGTGATTTGGGTGAAAATTTACAGAGCAAATTCATTTTCCATATAGCAGTTGACATACACTTTGTCTCATGACATTGACCACAATTTACCACAATGCAACAGCTCCCCTCCCACTTCCTACCCATACTTACCTTTTCCCTGTGTTCATCCCTCCATGCACTCGTGCCCCCTGAGCTGTCTCCCTGTGCATAAGCAGCCCTTCTTTTTTCCATGCTTGTTCTCTCCAAGGAGTGTATCTACTTCAGGTAAATGTTCAGTTCATATGCCTGTCTTTTGTTTGGCTGGAAACCACAGGTGTGAGTTCAATTCCAGACCTAAAGGGCAGCTAGGGTCCATAGTCTCAGCGGTTCCACCAGGCTCTATCAGACCAGCAAACCTGGTCCCCCCTCCTTTTTTTTTTTTTTCCTCCAAATGATTTTGAGTTTTGTCCACATTGTTCTCCCTCTCTATCAAGAATCTCCTACATAGATCCCCTTCCAAGTGGATGACA